AATGTGAGTTGACTGACTGAACTAAGAATATCAATTTCAATTTCAATTTCAATAAAAACATAAAGGTCAAAGACATGATATATACAGTTTCACTGTAAAACCAGATATGGTAATTTAACAAAAATCTAAATTGAGTTTGTGTCACTTAAATTTTTCTATGTAATTCGTTTCAACACTTTTTCGCATAACAGTGTTTTCATGGATTGGGCCTGACTTTTTGCAAAGTTACAGATTGATTTATTTGATATTTAATTTTTTTACCATTCTCTCTCAGGTTTAGTCACACACGAATCAGTTAAAAAAGATGATTTAGCACAAGACTGTTCAAGACCATACCTACATGTGAATACAACTCTTGTATCTCTAACACACACACACACACACACACAATTAATAATCATAATCTTGACTCAGCTGCTGCTTACACCTGGACTTGATCGGTACAAGTATAAATATGGCATATTTATACATCAACATTACAGTGTGACAGCAGCAACATGTGATGATGGTTCTACAGCAAATTATCGAGATGCTCAACTCACCATTTTAATCATTGTTACTGTTGTTGTCTGTTTCTTTTAGGATGTAGTTGCACACAACAACCAATCATTGTACACACAAGGTACGTGTTCATTCTTATCAGTGGCATCAGTTATCAGACACCAACCAACCAACTGATTACTGTAATTAAAGTATGTGTCTCTGCCTGTCTTGAAGCCTCACACTCAAACTTCTCTTGAAATTCAGGCATCTTTGGTTCTGATGTTTCTGGCGGCTCCCCAGCTGAGCTGTCGGCGGCAGTCAGTGATGGAGGGCTGCAGTGCACAGGATGGAAAGCTGCCCCTCCAGCCACCAGCACTGGCCTGCAGCCTGCCGTAACGCCTTGGTCTTCATCTGACTACAACCAGCAGGACCGTTCGGCTCAGACTCTGGCCTACTCAGCCACCCCCACCCTCACTGCTGATGTGTACATGCAGACTCTGTGTCCCAGCTACACCATGCTGACCTACACACATGCGCCACTCCTCACTAACTTTGGGGTGAGTAGGAGACAATTGGTGAACTGAAGCATTTTCAAAGTTTTACCAGGTCAGGCTTTGTTTAAATTTACATTGTATAGCCAAAGCTAGTTGTAGCTGCGAAATGTCTCATAAAAAAGTGTCAAGACAAAAAATAACTTTAGTTTATAGGTGATTTGAATTGAGCTTACTCTGATGCATTTACAGCTATGTGCATTGTTCCTAGTGCAAATGGCATGCAGGTGACGAGGAGTCTGTTGATGTTAATGCAGGTTGCACAAGCAAGAACTCGCAAGACACAGATATTAAACACTTTACAGCCACAGTCTAGCTAGATCTAAGGTAATCACAGAAACACTGGGTTACACTGTGGGTCACAGGTCAGCAGGCCACTTAGCAGAATTTTGCTCAGGGCCGTAGAGAGGGCAGAACCTGCTCTGGCCACAGGGACAGGAGTTGGTTAACTCAATGGGAGGTTGTGGCATGCAACCTGTCCCCTGGAGCTCTTCATCGCACTTCCATCCTCCTCCCTCCACTTCCATTTCTCCCTGCAACATTTCAAACCGATCTACTGTCATAAAATGCTGTTTTGTACACAGTTTTTGAACAATAGTGGTCAATGCTAATCTCCCTGACAAACACATTGAATTTCTTTCATAATAAAAGTCAACTTGTGTTTGCCAGGTCATCAAATTCCGACATTAAGGTCTGGTGCCACCAACCCAGTGTGTATTTGGTGACCTTGCAATGAGACTCAACAATCAACTATCTTATCGACTTGTGATTGGCCTCTCCAATTATGAGATAGATTTTCTAACGTCTGGAAACAGGGTTATTATGGTTATTACTAGGGGTGCGCATCTCACTTCTAAGACAATCCAAATCGTATCTAGATACATGGGCTACGATACAATTCAGGGAAGATGCATTTGAATATGAAACAATTCAGTGCAATGCGATATGATATGATGCAGTCTGATACAGTTCTTATATTTGTAGACATTTAATTTCCATTATAATTTAAAATATTTAAAATAATTGTTTCGGCGTTGTCAGACATGTTTGTTTTTGTACCGACCATGCTGCACTAATGTTACTCTTGTTGTGAGACGCTCACATTTTCGGACTCGGTAAATCTTTACACTCCTAGTTATTATGGAATGTTTGTCTAAAGACACCAAAAAGAAACTGTCTATAAACCACAGCCACGGTTGTAGTTTCAAGCATGTGTTTGAGTCTTTGCTACTTTTAGTTCCTTCCTGATCAATGTAACATTTCTGTGATATTTGTTGTTGTTTCAGACCATACCTATGGCCTCAGCACCAGGCTCCCTCCCTCAGATGGAGCTCCCAGACTCAGGGTTGACATACCTCCCCTGGGCCCAGCCCATCACCACCATATCTACCATGCCCAACCCTGGGGTCCAGTTTGCCCCCGGCTCCGCAGCCCTGCCCGGGCCACCTCTGGTCCACATGCCCTTGTCCATGTCTTTGACCACCATGATGCCTCAGCTAGAGGCTCAGGGCATAGATCCTCAGTCACAGATACTGGACCTCCCGCACAGTTCAGACCACCAGCTGGACCCTGAGCCCCAAGGTCAGTCTCTGGATGAAGATCCAGAGGTAGAGTCAGAATCACCAAGCCTCCTGGATAAACTTCTGGAGGATCAAAAGGATGATGGCGGTGAGCGGGACAAAGACTCGTACAGCAGCTCGCTCTTTATTCCAGATGTCTGAGAGTGTTCTTCCATTCTCTCTGTTTCTCAGGGGCCACCATTAAAGGATAATTTGGGTTTATCACAACTTGAGTCTTCATTTTAGCTGTTTACCTACTTTCTGTTCATTGTGATAGCGCTGTACTCTCCAGGATAAATGCTGAGGTTGATGCTGGATAAATAACAGTTGAGAACCGGTTCTCGATTCCCAAAACAATGATGTCAAACACACTGCTGCAACTGAGTCATGGTGGAGAGGAAGAAATGGTCCAAAACATGGCTTCCTCATCACAAAGACAAATGACAACAGTGCTAGTTGTAATTATCATTTCAAGTAAAGGTGGAACACCTTCTGAAAACCTGTGTAGGCCTACTTTTTTCACACATAAAACTGATCAGGAGAATTGGACCAATAAGCAGAATTGATAATGGCATTGGTATCAATAAAATCTTATAACTTCCATCCTTGGAGACGATTTTGTGGCAATTTTAACAATTACACCTTTGTATAGTAATATGCACCACGTAATTCTGAATCTTGAGACCTTGTCTTGTTTAGCGACCGTAAATAAATTTAGTAAACCTACTCAATCTCAATGATTATAACTTCTTCAGTGAAGACATATCTTATATTTTTACTAGAGAGAAGTACACCATTATCTGTATCTGTATTTTTTTAGTCGACTCGTAATTGTATATGTACTCGGAATGGGTGGGCCTTAAAACAGATGGGGATGGCTCTTCAACTGAAACTGGGTGGGACTAACTGAAAGTTGTTAATTTAAACTTGAAATTGAGATTAACACAACGTCCTCAGAATTGAGCATGAGAGCAATGTTCTTGATCACAGGAGTAAAAGAACTGTTTACAGAATAAGTTTATTTGAATAAAAGTTATATTTATTGGTACGTAATTAATTACCTACCTAAATTAGTACCTAATTATTACACCCTATATTATAATTTATTATCTTCACAGCAACCCCCACATATGGGCGCCCACCTAAGACCTAAGTTGTAATAAACCAGAATTAACTTTATTGTAATTAGTTATTCCTGTTACTTTTACACTTTTCCTTCCACAATTACAACCACAATACCTTTTACTGTCATAATTTTTTCTGTGCATTTAAGATCTAGCATTTGCAGAATGCAGTTAAGTATTATTTTATGCTGTTGTGACGTAATGTACACTTCTACTGCTCTAACTAATGGGACCTTTTTGGATGTTTTAAGTGTTTTAAATGAGTGTGTAAGATATTGATGCTTTGAATATAAACCTATATTTGATTGCAATTTGTGTTAGTAGCTGTTTCTTTCTTGCTGCAAAAATTTGACAAAACAGAACAAAGATGCTGCTGTTGTCTGTCAGAGGCACTGAGACACAGTTACCATGAAGTGCTGTGCGTCACCTGTCATACTCCTGAGACGTTTTCCTTAGCATTATAAAATCTGTCATACCGCCGCCACAAAATGTGTCACACTGCTAGTTTTCTTTTTTAAAAGTGGATGACCTGAAGAACAAAAGCTTAGTTGTAAGTTAGTCACTGACTGTCAGTATCTGTCTGCACCATCTGAAATAGTGTACACAAAAACAACATGAGTATTTAAATGGAAGAAGAAGGTTTAGCTGTCAAGCTGTCATAAAAAGAATGTAAAAGTGAAAATGGTATTCTGTAAGAAATATTAACAATTTGGAAAGTTCAGCATACAGGGTGTCAACCATAACCAATGAGAACATGCAGAAGTCTTTAAACTGCATTAGTAGAAATCACAGATGGGTTTCCAACAGAAACACTTCTCCCACTTTCGGTCAATAAGACTCCAACCAAAGCAAACTGAAACAAGAGGGCAATGCATCACATTTCCAAAAGAAGTATACTGTGCAGCACATGACACCTCTTCAGCTCTGCACCAACGTCCTCAGCTGACATAACTGTCTTTCAGAGGCTGTATCGAGTTTTAGAGTGAAGATACTGGCATCATATGATCATATGCCTTTAATCGATAGTGACAGTTGAAGAGTGACAGGAAACAGGGAGAGAGAGAGAGGGGATGACATGCAGCAAAGGACCACAGGTTGGATTCAAACCTTGGGCCGCTGCAGCAAGGACTCATGGGGTACATGGGGTAGGGTAGGGAGGGAGGAGGTTAATACAGAGATACAGCAGTACATAGTACCTGGAGGAGAGGGATAAAGAAGGAATGTTTAATGGAGAGGGAAGATAATATGGTAAATCAGTAGACATAAAGATAATTTACTCAAGACAAATAAATATGTAATGTTTTGCATTCAGCTGCAGTTATATCGTTCTGATATTTGGATATATATGCCAACATTCTCGGTGCAGCTCTAAACTTAATGAAATCTTTCTGAAAATTGGTAATGTTGGGGTTGTCATTCAAGCGGAAATATGCAAGGTAGTTTAATTTCTAATTTTCTATGTAACAACAGAGTGCACTGACCCGTCTTACACTATACTGTTGGGTGAGGACTTTGTCCCAGTGCTTGTGCTTGCTCTTGGTAAATGAAGGCCTCTAAGCTTCAGCGGTTTCCCCCCTGCGGGGAAACTGACAACGGACTGAGACTCATCTGTCAAAAATCCCACACCTGGAAACACCTGAGATCATATCACAGAGGAGAAAATGTGCCGGGCCAGCTCATGCAATGGGAACATGTGAAAAGATGTGGATTTTCCTCATGCAGAATTCAAAATTGTAAAACCAAACAAGTGCTGAGAGTATAGGTGACACTCCAATTGGAGTAGTACCTGTTGATGTAATACTCAGGGGCAAAAAATGAAAAAGAGGAAATGTTAATAGTGCAGATGAAACATGAGATATTGCATACTTCTGATGTATGAAAGAGTTTGTATGAATTCCAAGAGTGCAGGTTGCAGAGTTAATTATCTTAATATCAGCATGACTGTAACTGTAACACAGGATCCTCTGTTAAAATTAGGGTTTTGGCTGAAAAGATCATTTTAACGTTAATGTGTGCAGTATCTGTCGTCATCCATCTGCTCTCTTTGATTCTCGACAAATGACTTATGTGATGACTCATTCATGTATTGTTCTTACAGTGTTTTTGCCACTTTATCGCGTGATTTGAACCTCAACTCCCCTGTGGATCAAAGAAGGGGCAGTTGGTACTCTGCTGACACAACTAAAGTGTCTTGTAGACTCGCCACTGCCGACCTATGGCGCGACGTCACGGGAGCGCCGTAACTATTTATACTTGCGCTGGTGGTCGCGACACTAGTTGCAGTCTTCTCCTGAACA